CTGATTGTTTTGAGTTCTTTATATATCCTTGATAATAGTCCTTTGTCTGAGGAACAGCTGGTAAAAATTTTTTCCCACATTGTAGATTGTCTCTTAGTTCTGCTGATGGTTTCTTTTGAAGTACAGAAGCTTTTTAGTAAGATGAGATCCCAGTTGTTGATTCTATCTGCTAGTTCCCGTGCTACTGAGGATTTGTTCATAAAGTCTTTTCCTATACCAATGTCTTCCAGAGTTCTGCCTACCTTACTTTCCAGCAAGTTTAATGTTTCTGTTTTAATATTTAGATCTTTAATCCATTTGGATTTTAATTTAGTGCATGGCGAAAGATAAGGGTCTAATTTTAATCTGTCTGGCCCTGTGTTCTTTATATGTTCTATGTTATTCCTCTGTCTGAGGAATAGCTGGCAAACATTTTTTTCCCATTCTGTGGGTTGTCCCTTTACGCTTTTGGTGGTTTTCTTTGCTGTGCAGAAGCTTTTAAATTTGATATGACCCCATTATTGATTCTTGGTGCTATTTGTTGTACCTCAGGGATTCTGTTCAGAGTCCTTGCCTTCACCTGTGCCTTCAAGACTTTTCCCTATTCTGTCTTCCAGCAGATTGAGGGTTTGTGGTTTAACCACTTAGATCTTCGGCCTACTTTGATTTGAGTTTAATGCATGGTGAGAGATACGGTCTGAACTCAGTCTCCTGCACGTGGTTGGCCGTGTCCCCAACACTGTCTGCTGAAGAGTCCATCTCTTCTCCCATGTGCGTTTCTGGGTCTTCATTGTCTGTAAACTCAGTTAAGTAATGAAACTAGGACTGCCATGCACAGTTCCCAGACTCCAAGGCTGGGCTGTATTCTGTATAGGAGCCTGGGCAACTGAACAGGTGGCTAAGAGATATCCTCTGATGTGGAATCACTGCGCTCTCAGAGGTTTGTCTACTCTGGCTCTAGAGTTTGGCCATGGAATCACAGTTGACACAACTATTTTGCTACCACACAGGCAGGTGCTAACATCACTCAGGAGATTTGGGGGAAATCCCGCCTACTAACATCATTTCCTTGGAATTCCTGGCCCCTGTTTTGACTCTTTTTCACCCTCCCACAGAGAGTCCATTAGGGGAGAAGCACAGAATAGTTCATTACTCTTTGGGAAGCAGTCTAAGTTTGATACAGTTTCTTTTAGTTTTCTTGGTACACAGTCTTTTTGTGTACAAGGCAATTACTTCATATTAGCCTGTGCGGTCTGAAGCCAACTTGCTAGGTTTGATCCACAGCTGGCTTCTGACCTTGGGCAAGTTAGCTGAGTCTGTAGACCTTAGTCTCTCCATCCACAGATGCCAGCAATAGTACCAACCTCATACAGTTAGGAAGATGAAATGCGTTAATACGCATAAGGCACATAGCACAGTCCTTGGAATGTTTTAAACAATAAATGTGAGGATTCCTTGCATATTTTAAAATTTCAGGTCAAGAGGTTTATTACGCTCTGGACTCTTAATTCAGGGAAATCAATAAAACTTATATACTGGCTCCATCCTTTTCCTGTGCTTTTTCTGTTTTTTTCTTAACTTATTTCTTGGGCTCGGATTTCCTAACCTGCACCTGATTTCATACATGAAGGTTCTATATGATCTCTCTTTGTTCCCATCGTGGTCCTACCTAAAATTTAAAAACAAAACAGAGGCTGTGTGTGGCTTTGGGACTGGCTTAGCTGCTGCCTGGCTCTAGGTTTTATCTGCTTTGTGTTGTTTAGTTATCTAATGCGTTGATTCAACCTTATTCTTACAGGAAATTCCCAGGCTCCCAAATCTTACTTTTTCAGGTACACTACCCTAGAGGCACACGTTTAAGAGAGTTTTTTATGCATTCAGCTTTTTGAAGATGTTGGTTTTCTTTTTTAAATTTACTTATAATTTAAATTTAATTAAATAATAATTTTTTGGTGGTACTGGGGATTCAGCCCAGGGTGTCATGTGTGTTACACAAGTCCCCTCTGAGTTATCACGCTCAGCCCTTAATTACTTATTTATAAATTTTGAGGTGGAATCTTCCTAAGTTGCCCAGGCTGGAACCTGTTTTATTATGTGACAATGAACAAGGTGTACTATCTGTTCAACTTCTCCACTGCTTGTGTGTTTGATCACAGCTCCGGCTGTGTCCTTTTGTGTTTTAAAGTCGGTCTTTGAGAAACACCAATGAGGAGAGGGATTAATCCGTGACTTAGACCCTGGGTCTGGTCCTGACAGCCAGGTGTGATGTTTGGCATTGCCCACGTAGCTTCCTTCTGAACATTAGTTTTGGGGTGGTCAGCAGGCTGGGAAAGACAGCAAGTCTCCTGTATCTGTCACGACCTCTGTTCATCTGTTCCCTCAGACTCAGTAGTCTCTATGGTTCTCAGCACAGGAATAACAAGTTCAGAAGCTTCTAGAAGCTTCACAAATTTCTGGAGACTCCTCTTTTCACAGTTATTTCAGTGCATTCATTTGGGCAAACCGTAAGGTAAGAAATAGCCCAGCTGGTTTCTGCTGATCCTTCTGGTTTACTTTGAGGCTGTAAGTGAACTAAAGCAGGAAGAATTTACTCAACAGCATCTAACAGAGGTACAGGTTCTTGTGACAAAGGTTTGAAAGTGTCCATGTAAGACTGTCTAAACACACACTAAAGAGGACATCTCTGGAACTGCAAGAGGCGCCAACAGTGGGTCTACTGCACCGTACTTGTTCACCTGTAGGACTTTGGGCCCATGCCAACAGAGAAATGCATGCTGGGAAAACAGCTCCACCCACCACAGCCTTGGTGTGTGCTGTTGTCCTAGAAGCCGAGTTACTGCATGCCCAGGACGACTCAAGCTGGGTGGGACTACAGTCAGTACTGCCCGAGAGCCACACAGAGTTCAGAATCAAACCAGCCTGGATTATGTTGTCTGTGGGGAACTGGTTTTTCCTAGAAAGTAGTTTTCTAGCAGCTCGAGTAGCTTGAGCTGACTTTCCAAATTGTTGCTATTTGTGCTTTTAACAGTGTCATCTAGGAGCAGCAGCTCACAGTGCCCAGGTGGTTGTGGTTTTCCTGCAGTGGAGAAGTAGCATCATCAGGGAAGAAGCTAATATCCTTCCAGTGTAAAGTCTGGTCTTCCTTAGCTTTCCTCGGCCCTGCGTTGACTTCTGTTTGGTGCGTGTCATTTCTGGACCGTCTGTATCGGATCTGTGAGGATGGGCAGCTGTGAAGTGGCCTCCTAGGTGGAAATGGTGTCAGGACGGAGTGGCTGAGGCTCCCCTGGTGGTGCAGTGCAGGTCCCCTTGGGCGGCAGGTGGGCCGCCCTCCAGAGACCACCGAGGCTCACCCCAAAGATGGCATCTCTTTCTTTTGACACCTTCT